AAAAAAAAAAAAGTTGAACTGTTTTCATTTCTGCCTTCTCATTTCGCGAACTTTGGAGGCCGCCCCCAGAGAGGAAATGTGACCCAAACGTCCCTCTCGGAGATAGAGTTTGCCTTTGTTTTTGCGGAGGATTTCACAAGGCCCGTTCCGCGCCCCGTGGAGGGGGCTCGGGAGGACCGAGCGCCCGGCTTCCTGGGTCTGACAACCGACGGGGGTGGGCGTCCCGGGCCCCGCGCCCTCCAGCGCCTCGCCCCCGGCTGCCCCGCACCGCCTCCGGGCAACAGCCCTCCCTCACGTGGCTGGCTCCTCGCGCAACACCACCGCAATCGCTACAATACGAAGAAAAAAACAAGAGTCGGGGAAACACAAAGCAGACTTAAATAGGCGCTTTTTCTCTCTGTAAAAATAAAGTCCGAGGTCTTAGATTTCTTCTTTTTTTATTTTACAATTTATAAAACATTAGCCGCCTTCCCCTGCTCGCCCCCCAGCTCGGCCCCGCGCCGGGGGTCGGGCACCCGGTGCCTTCCCTCGGCTCGCCCCTCGGCCGAGTCTTTTGTCTGGCCCCCAGCCCCGCGGGTCCCCGGGTCCCCGTGCCCTCGGGGGTCCCTAGAAGGCGACAATGGCTCGAGTCCAGGCGCCGAGGCTGGCGAGCGCCTGCTTGGCGCACAGCTGCCCGTTGAGCGGCGGCGGCTGCTCCGAGGAGTCCGGCTGTCGGCTCACCAGCCCCGAGAAGCCTGAGCCAAAGATGGAGATCAAGTTTGAGATGTTGGACGCGTCCGGGGACGAGTCCGGGCAGAAGTCCTCGAAGCGGGCGCGCTTGCAGGGGGCGAACAGCGCGCCCCCGGGGGGCTCGGCTCCCAGGTCGCCAGGGTCCTCCTCCTCCTCGTTCTCCCCTTCCTGGCCGGGGTAATACTTGCGCTTGCAGCCGGCGGCGGACGCCAGGCCCGGTCCTGGGGCGCCCTGGCCACAGCACGGGCAGTGGGCGGAGGCGCAGCAGTCCTGGTGCAAGTAGCCGTTCTCCACCGTGGTCACCACGTGAGTGTCCAGGTCCAGCACGGTGGTCTGGCTGCTGCAGTGCACGCCGAAGTCCGAGGGGGCCGGGT